ATCAAATTTATTTTGCCTAATTTTTAGTTCATTTATTTGAGAACTTGAAATTCTTACAAGTGGTCCCTTTATTTTGATATTTGTACCTGGAAATCATTTCTGACATGTCACAGAATAAATCTGTTAGTGTCAACTTTGATTATTTATGTCTTTCAAAGAATTTTTCTGTTTTATAAAAATCATCAAATTTGTTGGTGTAGGGTTATTTATAATATGCCTTTGCTATCCTTTTAATGTCTGTAGAATCTGTAGTGGTATTCCTTTTCATTTCTGGTATTGATAATATCTTAATTATTTTCTTTTTCTTTCATCAGTTTATGTAAATGTTTATCAATTTCACATGATTTTTTTTTCAAAGAACCAGTTTGGCTAAATTGGCTTCCACTCCTGTTTGTATATTTTATGATTTCTAATAATAGTCCTAGTTTTATATTCTATATTGTCTGGCTTTAATATTGTCATTCCAGCTTTCTTATGCTTACTGTTTACATAGGGTATCTTTTTCTAATCTCAGTGTGTGTGTGTGTGTGTGTGTGTGTGTGTGTGTTTAAATTTGAAGTGCATTTCTTGTAGAACACATACAATTAGATCTTCCTGCTATATCCAGTCTGATAATCTCTGCTATTTGACTAGAATATTTAGGCCATTTATATTTAATGCAAGAATTAATAGGCTTGGATTTAGATCTGCCATTTTGCTATTTGTTTTTGATCTGTCTCATTTAGTTTTGCTTTTCTTATTTGTGTGCATTAAACATAATTTGTAATGTATAATCTTAATACATTTATTGAAATTTTTCTATATTTTGTGTTATTATTTTAGTACTTTCTCTAGGGATTAAAATATGCAATTTGCATAAATCAAGTAGCCTGTAATTTCACAGTGACCTTGTTCTAGTAAAATATAGAAACTTTGTGCCAATATAGTAGAATCCCTACTACCTCCTTTGTGCTAACATTGTCATATAAAAGCCTCTATCCACTTTATAACCTTAACAATACAGTGATTAACTGCTTTTTAAATATATGTCTTTCAAAGAAATGAAGAGAAATGCATGCCCTTAAACACACACAGAGTTCTTATCTTTTATATTTACTAAATAATTATCATCTGGTGTTATTTCATTTTAGCCTGAATAATTTATTCTAGAATTTGTTATACCGTTGATATTCTATTAGCAAGTTCTCTTAGTTTTTATTTATTTAGAAATGTATTTTTTTCACCTTCATGTTTGATGGAGAGTTTCATTATACATGCAGTTCTTAGTAGTCTGTATTTTATTTCAACTCTTAGAAAAAATTATTCCAATGTCTTCTGGTCTCCCTTGGTTCTGATGAGAAGTTAGTCATTGACTGTATTATTTTCCCACTGTACATGATGGGTTATTTACCCTTGCTAATTTAATATTTTCTCTTTGGTTTTTTCTTTCAGTAGTTTGACTATGACATGTCTTTGTGAGCTTGCGTTTGTCTTACTTGGGGTTTGGTGTGCTTCTTGGATGTGCAATTTAATGTTTTGTTTTTCTTTCTCAAATCTAAGAAGTTCTTGGCTACTATATTTTCCAGTAATTTTTTTAACCATTTTGTATTTCTCTGCTTTTTCTGGGGATACAATCACACCTATGTACGTTTGATTTTGTCCCATAAATCCCTGGGACTTTATCCATTTATCTTCAGTCTTTCATGACTGTTCTTCAGGTTTGATAATTTCCAATGATTTTTCTTTAAATTCATTGATTTTTTTTTCTATCATTTCTAATGTGCTGTTTTAATTTTATTTTAGTAATCATTCTTGTCAGTCTTAGGATTTCTGTTGTTAATAGTTTCCATTTCTATGTTGAGATTAGCTGTTACTTCACTAATTTTACATTTTGTTTTAATTCAGTGAACATGTTTATAATGCTTGCATTGAAATTTTTCTCTGCTCTGTTCAACACATCATCAAAACCAGATATAGATAATATGTCCCTTCAACTCTGGATTCTCTTCTGCTTTTCTGAAGGTTATTGGGTTCTTTAAGTAGGCAATTAACTTACCTGGAATTGAACTGCGAAATATGTCACCCATGCATTGTACAGCCCCTAATATCTCTGATAAGTTATCTTTTAGCCTAGCTTACTAGTTGTGAACTAATCATGTACAATAGAAACACATACTGTATATGGTATTTTAAGGTTAATCAGTCAACAGTAACTAAATAGTATATAAAAATCTAAGAATATTTGAGCATTTATTTTCTCTTATAACTTTTATTTTTTACAATCACTTTAATCTTAATTGTATTAGTCAGGATTCTCGAGAGGGACAGAACTAATAGGACTTATGTATATGGGGAAGGGGAGTTTATTAAGAAGAATTGACTCACACCATCATGAGGTAAAGTCCCACTATAGGCCGTCTGCAAGCTGAGGAACAAGGAAACCAGTGGTGGATCAGTCCGAGTCCCAAAATCTCAAAAGTAAGGAAGACCACAGTGCAGCCTTCAGTCTGTGGCCAAAGGCTCAAGGGCCCCTGGCAAACCATTTGTGTAAGTCCAAGAGTCCAACAGCTGAAGAACTTGGAGTCTGATGTTCGAAGCCAGGAAGCATCCAGCACGGGAGAAAGATGAAGGCTGGAAGACTCAGCCAGTCTGCCTTATTCTAGCCATGCTGGCTCGAATAGATTGAGGGTGGATCTGCCTTTCTCAGTCCACTTATTCAAATGTTAATCTCCTTTGGCAGCACCCTGGCAGCAGACACACTCAGGAACAATAGTTTGCATCCTTCAATTCAATCAAGTTGACACTCAATATTAACCATCACATTAACCAAGCCTAATTTTTAAATGTATACTTTAATGTTATTATCTAGATTAGAGAAGTAAAATTCGTGTTTCGTCTTTTTTCCCCAATGTATTGATGGTAGAACAAGCTTTGCTAACCTTTTGTTGTTGTTGTTTGTTTGTTATCAAGTCCAGTAAATCTTTCCTAAATGTGGTAGTATAATGTGAATGTAACGATAATGATGAGAGTGATTCTAAAGAAATTAAGGCCAAACGTTTCACCAGCTTTATTTGGAAGTATGATCTTTCATATGCTGTCATTAGTTTTGTAGCCAAATCAGCGGTAAAGTGCTAAAGTCAGAGAATATTATTTGCAGTGATGCACTAGGTAATACAGCAATGAAGTCACCAAAACTCTGGTGGCATCTGTATATAAAACATAACAAGTTAAGTTTAAAAAGGCCAAACAGAATTCTCTGAAGAAAAGAGTTACTGAAAGAAAAGCCCAACAGAAGCAGATGTTCAGTATTTCACAAATAAATATTGGCACATTATGGGGCTTCTTATAAAGGAGCAATTTAGGTGCGTAAGACGACGATGTCATATGCAACTACTGAGATACTGGCGAAAGACTACTTCAAGGATGATGGCTGGAAATGTGGGAGGAGTCCGTACCAAACAAGGTAGCTCATGCCCCACTTTCCAGTGATAACATCGTCCCATGCATTGTGGAACTGGCCGATGCCGTCAAAACCCAACTACAGAAAAAAATCGTAAACACGATTTTTTATTGCAACTTGACAACAGCGTCCTTTAGTCTGAGAGTGGTTAAGGATGCATGGGGTAATATTTAAATAATACTTCTGGGCGGATGCCTTTTAAAGCAAATTGAAATTATCCATATTTCTCACTGAAAAGTCTCCACCTTCAAGTGTTCCTTCTGATAAGACAGAATGCATCCATAGCTAATCACACCCTTATGCTAATCAATAATTTTATCCTTGCTCAGACACTCAGATGGACCTTACAGTACTTTTAATTTCATTTACCCTGATCTCAGCTTACGTAGTATTATCTTGATGAGTTTTAACACTATATTTTAATCTCAAAATAATTATTGTTTTTGTACCATAATGTGAAAGTTAACTTAGACTTACTCATATATTTCTTCATTTGCTCTTCCATCCAGCATTTTTGCCTCTCATCTAGGGTCGTTTTCCTTTGCTCAGGTGGAAATGTGGGGGGAATCTGTACCAAACAAGGTAGCTCATGCCCCACGTTCCAATCATAACATAGTCCCATTGTCTAGAAGGTCTCTTAGTGTGAGTCTGTGGTGATAAACAATTTCAGTCACTGTTTGAATAACAATGTCTTTCTTTCACTTCATTATTGAGTATTGGCCATTATTTCAGCACCTTCTTTGATGATGTCCGTCCTGTCTTCAGGCTTCCTTTCTCATTTTTTGAGAATTCGTCTGTCAGTCTTTTCTTCTTTGGAGATAGTCCATTTTTGCAACTCTGTCTACTCGCTTTTTGTATGCTGTGTTTAGGTCAGGGCATCTTTTTATTTATCCTGCTAAATATTCACTGGGCTTTCTGAATCTGTGAATTGATTTTTCATCAGTTCTGGGAAATTATTAGCCGTTATTTGTTCAATTGTTTCCTCTACCCCATTTGATAATTTTAGTCTTTCTGGCATTTTTAGTAAACCAATTTCGACCTTTTTAATATCTCTCATGTTTTGTGATATTCCCCATCTTTGGTCACCACGTGTTCTAGTCTGAGTAGTTTCTCCTGATGCACTTTCTTGTTGAATAATTTCTCTTTCCCTGTGTCTGTGCATTGGCTTTAAATTTTAAACTCATCCACTGGCTTCTTACTTTTGATGATGGCGTTTTCCAAATCTAAAATAGACTTTTGGTTCATTTTCAGATTAATGTGTTACTGTTAAAATTATTTATTTATTATTTTAGAGACAGGGTCTGGCTCTGTCACCCAGGCTGGAGTACAGTGGCACAATCATAGCTCACTGCAACCTTGAACTCCTGGGCACAAGAGATCCTCCCACCTCAGCCTCCTGAGTAGCTAGGACTACAGGCACACACCACCATGTCCAGCTAATTTTTTTTTTTTTAATTTTTTGTGCGGTATTTATTTCAAATGTTTGTTAAAACAGCACTGTTATTTCTCAGGAGAAGAGCAAAGATCACCCCCTGCAGAAGCTTGGGAACTATGTACAGAACTTTATAGAAACAGAGGCCATACTTTAGCTTAAGCCTGTCTGCTGACCAGAGAATGGAATTCTGCGTGGACTCAAGGAACAAAAGGAAACTAGGCAGGGAGAGGGAAGAAAAGTGCCCATCTGAATCAAACTTCAGCTGCCATCAGGGCACATCTTGTGGTGGTCACAGATTGTAGGCTGTTTTTTGGGAGATTCGGGTTCAGCACAGGATTCCATTTGTCTACTTGGCTACACCCCTGGCTGAGGTGCCATGAGGTCAATGTCACTCAAGTTCCTGGCCAGTCAAACTCCCGCAGCAAAGAGTCCCAAATTTAGTATCGAGTTCCTCCGGAAGTCATTCCTATCTGTGGCAAAGCGGTAGACGCCCCGAAGCCAATCTCCCACGTTGTCTGGTATTTCGGGAGTTTCATTAGCCGAGCCAGCAGCGGTCACTGGGACCCCACTGGAAGCCGTAGTAGGCAGCTTCGCATGGGCCTTAGTGGAGCTGTCCAGCTAATTTTTAAGAAAAAATTTTGTAGACTCAGGATCTGTAATGTTGCCGAGGCTAGTCTCAAACTCCTGCCTTCAAGTGATCCTCCTGCTTCAGCCTCCCAAAGCGCTGGGATTACAGATGTCAGCCACTGTGCCCAGCAGTGTGTTACTTTTCATACTGTTCAGTTCCTTACTAAAATGTTTGCTATGGTCTGAATGTATATGTCCCTCTCATATTCATATGTTGAAATCCTAACCGCTAAAGTGATGGTATTAAGTGGTTGGGACTTTGCGAGGTGATTATAATGGGGTTAGTGCCCTTAGAAAGAGGCTTGAGGGAGCCTGTTTTTCCCTTTCATTTCATCTACCATGTGAGGACAGAGCAACAGGGCACCATCTAGGAAGCACAGAGGCCCTTTCAGACCTCGAACCTGCTGGTGCCTTGATCATAGACTTCTCAGTCTCCAGAACTGTGAGCAATATCTGTTGTTTATAAATTACCCAGTATAAAGTATTTGTTGTAGCTGCCCAGATGGACTAGGAAAATGTTTAAGCTTAGCTTTCATTTCTTCAAAGTCATTCCTGACTCCTCTATTTCATGATGCCCCATAGGACATCCCATTAGCTTCATCTTCAAGATAGACTCAGAATACGACATCATGTTACCATTCCCGCTGCTACAGCCTTGTTCTGAGCAAACATCATGCCTCACTTGGATTCCTGCAGTAGCCTCGTCCTGGGTCTCCCTGCTTCCCACCTGCCCCCCAGTCCATTTTCCTCCCTGTGGCCAGAAACATCCTTCTATAATGCAAGTCATACCATGTCATGCTTTGCGCCACCAAGGAATGGCTGGCTCTCCATTTCACTCAGAGTAAAATCCAAAATCCTTGCAAGCACCTGCAGGGCTTGCTGTTTGCCTCGGGTGTTGGCCTCTACTTCCTGCCCCCTCTGCCTCGGCCACTCTGGCCTCCTTGCCATTTCTCTAACACGCTGGGCACATGCTCACCATCAAGTCATCAGAGCAGCTCATTCCTCGGCCCAGAACCTTCTTTACACAGACACCACATTGCGGACTCCTTCACCAGTTCCAACTCTGCCGAATGCCTCGTCTCCATGGAGCCTACCCTCATGGCCCTAGTCTCCCATCATCCTGCTGTGTTTGCTTTTTCTCAGAGCCATAGGTCACCTTCTATCACCGTAGTACCTATTTTTCTCATTTGTTATCATTAATTATATGCTGCTCACCCAATAGAATGGTAGTTCCACACTTGCAGGAATTACTATTAATTTCTTTTGTGGGTATATCTCCTAGTAGTACCTGAAGCACAGGGATCTACATTTTTTTTTGAGATAGTGTCTTGCTCTGTCATCCAGGCTAGAGTGCAGTGGTGTAATCTCGGCTCACTGCAACCTCTGCCTCCCAGGTTCAAGCGATTCTCCTGCCTCAGCCTACCTAGTAGCTGGGAATGCAGGCATGCACCACCACAACTGGCTAATTTTTTGGTATTTTTAGTAGAGATGGGGTTTCACCATGTTGGCCAGGCTGGTCTCGAACTCCTGACCTCAGGTGATCCACCCGCCTTGGCCTCCCAAATAGCTGGGATTACAAGTGTGAGCCACCGTGCCCAGCTCACCTATTTGTTGAATGAATAAATGCATTATTTAATTTGTTCAATCCTTTCCCCAAATGAAACTCCTTACAAAATGCACACACACAGCAAATACACAGAACTGAAGAAGACAAAGTATTTATTTTTGACAATGTTCCCTCAGTTTTGCAATATTTTGGTTTGAGCACTAGGATCCTGTGGAATACAGCTGGAAATATCACTGGCCCGGCTGTGCTTTAACTGTGAGTTATTATTATAAGCTAACACCCATTGTACCTGCCCGTGAAGTCCCGACACAGTGCATCACACATAGGGCTGAAGTGAAAGTTTCAGTAAATCCACAATCCCTTCCATTAACTTGGTACTTCATTATGTGGACATCCATTCTTGCTTCCCCAGACCTCGTCACTGAAGAAGGACAGGAGGAACGGGTACAAGAAAAGCAGTGGGCTGGGGTCCCCATCTGGGGAAACACTAGGCCCTAAAGACCCACAACACCCCTTCCTTCCCCTGGCATGGGCCCTGCAGCTCCTGGTGTTTTTCTTGGCGGCCTGAGAGCCACCACCCTCACCACCGCAGATCTGCCCTGTCGACGCCCCTCCAGTCCTGGCTCCCATCAGCTTTCCTTCCAGCTGCTAATGCTGACCTGCTAATGCCATCAGCCACGGAACACTGTAATGCTAGATGGTGTGGAAATTCTGGTCCAATTCCCTCTGTTACTCTTCATCACCTCTTTTGAGAAATTCAGGACAAGTTCCTCACTGGCTGAAGCAGAAGTACAATCCCAAAACATCTGTCGTGGGTCGTGTTGTGTCCTTTGAAAAGATGGGCACCTGTCCATATGACCTTATTTGTAATATAAGATATCTGCAGATGTAATCAAGTTAAGATGAGGTCATTTGGGCAGGTTCCAATCCAATACAACTGGTGTCCCCTTAAGAAGAGGACAAGAGTCAGAGACAGAGACACTCAGGAAGAAGACAGCCTTGACAGCAGGGCAGGGATTAGTGATGAGCTACATGCCGAAGAGCGCCAGGATTGTCTGCCAGGACCAGGAGCTGGAAGAAGCTGGAGGGGACCCACACAGGGTCTCAGAGGGAGCCTGGCCCTGCTGACGCCTTCATTTCAGATTTCCAGCCTTCAGACTGTAAGAAAAGCTATTTCTTTTGTTTTGAGCCTCCCAGTTTTGTAGGACTTTGTTAGGGCAACCCTAGCAAATTGGCACAACATCCACTCCCCGACAGGTGCTAATACTGTCCCAAGACAGAACTCCACCATTCTGCTTCTACAGTGGTTTCCTCATGTCGGCATTGTTACCCCCAAACCCTCCTTGAGGTTCCAGGACATTCTGCGGCTTCTACTCATGCAAGAGTATTAATGTTGGGATACCCAAGCCCAGTGACAAGTTCTCAAAGGGGAATCTACAGTTACTTCTAGGCCTGCCCGGTCCCCCTGCAGAGTGACCCCCACAGCTCGCTAGCAAATCAGCACTCTAGGGGGCTGCCTGACAATCCATGAGAACTATGTAGATATTCATTATGGTTCATTTGTAACGATCTTCCTGCCTCATTCATATCTTCCATGACCTCAACACAAGACAATACATTCAAAAGCAAATGTCATCACACTGAAAGTGAAGTGATGACGCCCTGCAAAAATTATTGAGACGGATGAAATCTAAGAATTGACATCACATTAAAGTATTTTTTCCTCAAATTTTTTTAACAGTAACATATACAAAGAGAAGCACAACAATCAAAAGATTTGTGTCTTCTGGAAAAGAAATATGATGCAATTTCACAGAACTGAGTTGGGCTGTTCATTTAGCAAAAGCATCAACATCTGCAGCCATGAAGTGTCTCTATTCCTACTGTCTCAACCTTCCATCTGGAAAAATAAGCATTTAAAAATGTGTAAAATCTTTTCATGTTTCCTTTGCATTCTTTTCCCTCCTTAGTCCTTCCTTTCAATTAACAAAATTAAAATACATTGACTAGCTAGCTAGAGTCACGGTATGGCTGAGGATTTTCCTAACCAGCAGTGCACATATATTAGAGCAAAGAGGCAGCGATCCTGCAGTCAGTCTGATGTATTGCAGCAGAGCCCAGCGCAGAGGTGCAGACGTCAGTGGCGCTCGAACGGGGGCTTCCTAATGCACAAACTACATCTTCCGCGCCTGAGTTCCGCGCCTGCGTTCCCCACTTGCACACACCCAGGAGTCTGATAAAAATGAAGCACGCGGAGGACACCGAAATATCTAGAAGGCACAGAGACAGCCGAGAAAAATGACAGGCAGTATATGTTTTCTAGACTCATAATCTTTATACAGGATTACTGTATGTTTCTGTGAGTTTCTATGTACCGAGGGTGTGCTTACGTATGTGCACGAGCCACACACACACACGCACGCACATACGCATATACGCACACACGCACATACACACATGCACACACAGGCACATGCGCGCGCGCACACCCACACACACCCACACACTGTGCAGTCCTCCTGAAGCGGACGAAGGGAGTGCCCGTACTGAGCTTCCCTCTTGGAGAACGCACACAGCACAACCTCCAGTGGATTTTCCTCTCCTGGTGGCAGCGCTATGCAGGACGCAGATGGTCACTGCTCTGCCCCGGGACCCGCCCCACCTGCGCCCTGCCGGCTTCCCGGGCTCTCCGTGTGAGCAGCCCCTGTCTGCACGCCTCCCTCGCGTCTCTCCACCGGGTGGACGTCTCCGAGTCCGGCTCCCAGGCGCAAGGCTGGACCGGTGGCTCCCCGGGCCAGGATCCGCGGCTGCGCGGATGACGCGCACCCCTGAGAGGCAGGGGCGGAGTCGGCCACCGGCAGGCGCCCACCCCATCTTGTCCTTGGCTAATGTCAGCGGCGCGACCCGCTCCTCCGCCCCCGCTGGGCCCATCTCCTCTCCTCAAAACGGGACCTGGCCCCCCGTTTCTCCCCACTGACATCGACATCCATCCACTTGTCTATTTGTACAAATTTCCAAAGTGTATCATTTCACCCCCTTGGATGTAAAAAGTGAGCTAATAATTTTCTAGCAGCATTCCTGATGTCAGCCTCTCTAATTCTGTATAAAAAATCATTTTGCAATGGGACCAATGTTAACTCATTTATGCAATATATCGGTTGCTAAAATGGAATATTCCACTGAAGTCCATCAATCAACATGGGAATATAGGTCTCATATTTATTGCACCTAATCTACTTTTGCTTAGCACAGTTATTACTCATATCAGCATATGGGTCTAGATGTGAATGACGGAAGTTATATTTGAAATCGTGTCTTAAGGCTAGATGTGCTCACGCCAATTTCTTTTTCATTGCACACCCCAAAATTGCCAATACCATGTTCAGTATAAAATACATCATCTTTGGCACCCACGGGTCACCCTAATGATGCACACAAGTGAAGATGCAAATATTTATCTTTCCTCTCACGGATCCTCCCGCCCCTCCCTTCCCCCTTGCAGTGCTTTTCTGGCTCCTTCTTTGCTGGGGTGGAAGAATATGGAGGTGGGGGGCGGGTTTGATGCTTCTTAAAAACACATAAGCTGCCTCTCTCATCTGGCAATCATTGACTTATTAACTCTTATTTAAAAAGTTCACACAAATCCAGAGAACTTGTCCTGCTATAAGAATGCAGTGAGAACTAGATGATGCGTGGAAGCCGTCCAACTGCGCAGGGCAATGATCCTAGGCGGTGGCTACTGGCCGACAAGTGCGCCCCTGCGGCAGCTCCCAGCCTGGGTCTGCAGCTCCGGAGCGCTGCTGTTTTCACTGGACCCTGAGAAAACCATGACTCAAGACCAGAAAGGTCTGGAATTAGAAAGAACAGACCCAACCACTCTGCTCCTGGGCATCCTATATGTCCTTTGAAGACATCTGGAGAAATGCAGAACACAGGCTGGGAAGAGGAAATTAAAATGATCATGAATATATACAAAATATCAGGCCACTCTCCTTGTAGCCACTTTACCCTAAAGGGGTAGCCCTCTGCCCACCTGACATGTGGTCCAGGCTTTTAATTGAAGACCATGCCTTGAGCTCTGTGAAGTTTTGATGAGCTGCGAGCCAGCAAAGGCTGTCCCAAAGGTTCCCGGAACACTCGCCCATCACAGGCAGGATAATTTCATCAGGGAACCTGGAGACCTGGCTTCAGAGTGACCAGATGACGGGCTTGCAGACCCTTCACAGTTCCCTGTTAGATGACCCCGTGAATATATATGGCTGCTCACAAGAGGCAATTCCCAAGAGGTGGAACATATTTTTCTGTGTCCGACTGTGGAAACTGGGACCTCCCTCTCCAAGGGTCCTTGCCCCAACAGCTTAGTCCCTGGACCCCCTTTGACTTTGCTCCGCTTTCACACTCTGGTTGAGTCTCTGACCAAAATGAGGAAGGGGCTGCACTGAGATTCCTTTGGGGGTTCACCTGGCTTCCCATCTCCCATGGCTAATAAGTGCTGTCCAGTGGCTTGTTGGAGGACAACCATTAATTAGATACACCAGTGCCGATTTATCTTATTAGAAATCTACACACAAGTAGCCATGAGAATGCAGAAGCTTTCAGGATTCCTAGCACTCCAGATCGCCTTAGTTGCTGACGTCTTTGCTCCTTGATTTGCATTCATAGCTGGGGTTTTGTTTCGTGTCAGTAACACAAGCATCAGGGCAGGGCTGCTCCAAAGTCTGTGCCCACAACCCCCACTGATGCAATGTTTACATGGATTTATGTTGCAGTAGCTTGAAATATCTGTCGGTTCCCTATAACCAACCGATTTGCCTGCAAACCCCATTTTTTACCCTTTTATTGTTTGCAAAACCAACAACTTTGCAAAACCACTTCCAGGGAACGGGAGGACCAGCTCTGCATCCGTGTAGAGCTGCACCAGCCACAGCAAGCCGAGCTCTGTTTATTGCTGCGACTTTCAAAACATAAAGATAAAATATTTGAAGATTTTCTTGAAAAGGGGAAAACGCAGCTCTAGCCCCCTCCATTTGCCGCGGGGGGCGGGGAGCGGGGGTGTTGTCCACGTGCCAGACGTGACGGCCTAACGGTTTGATTTATGAGTCTGATAATAAAAATCCCATTAGGCTCCTCTCATTGAGAAAAAGGAGCAGAAGAAAAAAAGCTGTGTGTGTCACCGAGCAGCATTGACGCAGGCGGCTCTGACGGCAGCAGCCGCGGGCGGGTGGGGGGCCCGGGGGGGCCCGCGAGGGGCGCGCGAGGGCCGGCAGTTCCAGCGCAGGGTCCCCTAGCCGCCCCCGTGCCTTTTCAGCTCCCGCCTCCGCTGTCACCATTCCCTCGACCCACACGCACCAGTGCACTCGCCCCCGCACGGCTCCTGAGTGCCCCAGGCACCCCAGCCCCCGCTACTGCAACCCTGCACCCCTCTGTAGTGACGGGTGCCACCCTATGTGATCCCCTGCCCCTGCGGACCCCTAGTCCTCCAAGGGGAGAGTGAAAGAGGGAAGGGACCTGGGAGGGAGCAGTTCACAGCCACCCAGGAAGGGGTCACAGCCCTCCCTTCCCTCCAAGGAAGGAGGTAGGGCTGGGAGGCTGGGGTCCTGTGTTCCCAGCCCCCGGGGAGTTGCAGTCACTGGAACCTCCCCCACAGGCCCAAGCTGCCTGCAGATAGGGCCCGCAGCCCCTTGTCCAGCAAGTATCCATTGTTCACGGGCTGAGAACACGTTAGAGTCAGGGTTATTTTTCTATTTAAAAAGTCATCTGGGCAGGAAAAAAGAGTAATGCGCTGTGCTCGGAGTGCGCATGTGTGAGCCAAGACCCAGTGCCTGCCACCCACGCGTGGTTCCCCGTGGACAGAGCCGGACCTCACCCTGGAGCTGCGGCCACTACTCCCCGGCAGTAGGAGGACCTGGGCCCGGGGCCAGCCCTGAAGACAGTGCGGGGACAGATGCCACTGCTGGGCCCACGCACAAATGCTGCTTCTGGTATCCAGGCAAAACAAGCCAAGGACTGCACAGAACATCTGGGGTTCCAGACCAGTGGTTTTCTCACGGTCTCTGAACAGAATGACTGACAAGATGTACTCCTAAGGACACTAGAAAAATAATTGTATCGGTTAGGCCTGATTCAGCCCTCTAGCCTTAAATTTTTACATGTCTACTTGAAATGTAGTGAGATTGATAAGGAATTAGAGAGACTGATAAACAAAAAACAGGCCTTAAAATTCCACCACTAATTATCAAAAAAACTAAAAAACTCAAGTGCGTCCAAATCCGCAATTCCGAGTCCATAAGTCATTCTATAAACATTTTAATCAGCCAGTGCCTAAACTTCCCCCATCAATCCTGCTACACTACATCCCCTTGGGGAGGGAGATGTGCCATTCATAATGTCCCAGGGACATGGAGCTTTCAACCCTCCTGGGGGAGAAGGCACTGCATGTCCCTGGAACTAAAAATGGGAATGTCTGATGCTTGTGCACCAGGATTCACAACAGCCGTAGCCAGTATTCACCATAGCCGAGAGGAAGGATCAGCCCAGTGCCCCTCACCGATGAATGAGTACACAAAACGTGGTGCATCCGTGCAATGGAGCATGAGCCGTAAGGAAGGGAGCACTGACCCGTGCCTCAACATGGATAAGAACATTGTGCTCAGTGAAACGAGCCAGTCACAGAAGGACAAACCCTGCAGGATTCCACTTACATGAGGTCCCTGGTGTAGACAAATTCATAGAGACAGGAAGTGGAGTGGTGGCTGCAAGGAGCTGGGGGAGGGGTGTCGGGAGTTATTGTTCAATAGGTAGAATATTGTTCTGTTGGGGATGATGGAAAGTGTTGGAAATAGATCATGGTGCTCGTACCACACCATCATGAATTTAATCAATGCCACTGAATTGCATCCTTAAAGATGGTGACAATGGAAAATTTATATATATTATGTGTGTACACACACACACACATATATATAACCACAACAAAACAAACAAACAAACATGAATGTCAGTTAGCACTGATACTTCACCCAGGTTTCCTCTTCAAATTGCCTTCTGGGAACAGCACCCCCAGGCATGGTGTTAGCACCCTCAGACACCCCCAGCTTGAAATGGACCCTCTGCCTTCTTAAAAACAAAATGAGATAAGATACCAAAAGCCACCAGGGCTCCCTCGCTCATTTACATCTTTTACAAAGATCCCCCTGTCTATTTGAGAATTTGGGGGAGCAGACTACATTCTTACATCATTTGGCTCTTCCCTTCAATAGTGCCTCACCATGTGCACCGCCGAACATAGAATGGATTTTGTGAAGAAAAGTAATTTTGGTGTTTTTGGTTACTGCTAACCTAAGTGTATTAGGTTTCTATTGCTGCTGTAATAAATTACTGCAAATGTGGTAGTTTAGAACTGCAAAAATCCATGATTTATGATCTTACGGTTCTGCAGGTCAGAAGTGTAAACTGAGATGAAAGTGTGGGCAGGCTCTGTTCCTCTGGAGGCTCTCAGAGAATCCGTCTCCTGGCCCCTGGCTGCATTCCTCTGCTCATAGCCCCTTCCTCCATGGTCAGAGCCCGCCAGTCTCCCTCTCCTTCTGAACAGCTGAGGAAGGAGCGCCTCTCTTCAGGATTCACACGAATAAATTGGGCAGGCTCACCTGGATCATTTAGGTTGGCCTCCCCATCTCAAGCTCCATACCCTCGACATGTGCAAAAATCCACTACTTTGCAAAGTCAGGTGACGTAGTCACAGGCTGTGGGGATTAGGACATGGACATCCTGGGGCCATCTTTTTGCCTACCACACTAAGGAACCTGTTCTAGTTTATGATTTTATGTGAAGGAATATTGCTTATGGGAACTCAGAGTCATTTAAGCCAGCTTGCTCACAATTTATAAATATCAGGGTAGAAATAAACTAAGGCTCTCCTGCAGTGACTTTTA